CTCTCTAAAATTCAAGAACTGACTTTACTTTTGACAACTTGACCAACAAAAGCCTGTTCTTATGTTACTGGACTATTACTGCATTGGCTTAACCTTGGACATGTGGAAGTAAGTATGCTGAGAGAATAAAGCTTTTGCAATTTGAAGGACATGTTGTTTGTTAATAAGCCTGTTAAAAAAAAAAAAAAAGCTGTTAAACAAGTAGTTCTTGTTTATTTTTTCAAAAGGGGTGCTGCTCTAACTCAGAGGTTGTGCTCTCAAGCTGGAAAGACTGCATCACCAAAGGGAGGACCATACTTTTCTTCTCTTTACCTTCACAACAGCTCAGCCTCCCAGTGCCTCAGCCACGACACCAGCTGCACGGCAGGTGTGAACATGACACGTGGCCAAGCAGAAGGGGGATGACCTATCCCAAGCCGGACGCCAATCAAGCGCGAACTGGGTTCCTGATACAGATTTTCACAAGATCACAGACAACTTTTAACCTCACACCGAGCCCCACGTTCTCCCACGTACGATACCGCCCCTCCTAAGGACACCAAGCCCCAGGCTCCCCTCCCAGCTGAAGCTCTGCAGGCCCGGACCGGCGCCCCCGCCTCAGTCGGGCATCACACCGAGCCCGCTGCCCTCGCACCGCTCCCTGCCCGGGGGGCCGCCAACCCCCGCAGCTGAACCCCCTGCTCTTCCTCTGGCCCTGCCGAATGCTCACTGTGTCTTTATCGGCCAAGCCCTGGCGCCGCTTTCCTCCCTCCGTGGGGGCGGCGGCCTTCGTCCCCTCGGAGCGCTTATCCCTGGCTTCCTCCGCCGCGCCAGGAGCCGGGCACGGAGCGGCCCCGGGGCCCTTCCCGCGCGGCCCGGCCGTGACGCAGCGCGGGCGGAGCCGGCGGTAACGGCGGTACCGGAGGTACCGGCGCCATGGCGGGGGCGGCTCCGGCGGAGGGGCCGGGGCCTCGGGGCCGGGGTGGCCGCCGCGGCCGCCGCGGCCGCCGCCCTCGGGGCTGCCGACGGGCCCTTCTGGGCCTGGGACGGTGCTGCGGCCCGAGGGCAGTGCGGTGCGGTGGGGAGGGGAGGGGGCAGCTTTGCCCGGCTTCTGCCAGTGGAAACGTGGGGCTTGGTGAGCTCTCCCTGAAAAGATCCCAGCCCTGGTCCGTGCCCGGCCTGTTTTAGATAAATAATAGTAATAATAATAATAATAAAGGGTGGCTGCGTTATTGCAGGATTTGCTCTGGCCTCCTGTCCCTGACAGTGAAACGGAGGGGAGAGGAAAAGACAAATTAAGGTGAAGGTCTGAATGATATTTTATGGGCGTTTTAGATTATTTATTTTTAATTTCTTTTTAATAGAAGAGAGGTACTCCTGGTGGCAGCTAATACGGGTTCCCGATAGGAACTGGTGCCCTTGCTCAGTGCCAATACCCATATAAATATCTCTCCTTGAAGCCATAAATGCAGAAATTATGTACTGTGAAGATCTATTCTGCCACCTAATTAAAGAGGAAAAAATCTTTTTAATTTAATGGAATATTTTTTATTTGTTGTAGTACTTCATTTTCAGACAGTTTCTTGTCTGTTTCATTATTGAGGAAGCATGACTTTTTGGTTTGGTTTTTTTTACTAAGAAGCATTTTCTTCATTCTTAGCATGGGCAGTTCTTGCAAATTTTTCAGTTGAAATATGTGCTTCTGAATCAGTCTGTCTTTCTGTTTAGATTAATGTGGAAATAACATTAATGCTTAGAGCGTACTAACATTGCTACAGAATTCACGTGTTCCTCCCCTCCCCGCCTCCAAGGATTTTGCTAGTTGTAAGGACTGGAGCTCTTGGTTGTGCTTGAAGTAGCATCAGTTTCTCTGCAAGCTCAGAGATTAGACAGAACATTTATATATAAACTGGTATCTTTTGCTTCAATGTGTCTTGTCATCAGTTCAGTAGATATAGCCACTCTGAAATACAGTATCCTGGCACTATGAAAATAGAGCAGTTCTTCCCCTCAGTTTTCCCAGGTTGGTTCTGGTCGAGAGTTCCTTTCATCATATGGATAGATTAAACTTGTATTGCAAACCTTAACGGCTTGTTTACAGATGCCCTGCTATTGTCTCTCTGTGCCGATGGGTATGTTTTAATAATTTTCTTTGTCTCATGTGCTTTCTTGATACAAGGATTCTTTTTTTTGTGTTTGTTCTAGATGGCGTTGTCAGACTCGGTCACTACTTGTCTTTCTCAGCCTGTGCATTATGCAATTTGCAAACTTGGGTTTGAGAAGAAAGATACGTATGATATTAACAATATTTTATCTGGAAACGGTGAAATATGTTGGCAAGCTGTTACAGAGCACGTGTGTTACCTTGAATCAGGTTGGTGTTTATCTGCTGTAGTAGTAATGATACATTTAAGACTGATGCAGAATTTCAGTACATGATAGCAATTGTAGCTTAGTTACATTTTGTTACAGTACAGTATTAGCTTTTCTGCTGATTTAGAGTATGTACAGTTAATATCTAGAAAGAGCTTTTTTATTTGGCTTTTGCTGGCTCCTAAGGTTTGTGTAATCTGTAGCTGCTGCTTTACCTTCATCTTGGTTCCCAGTTTAATGTGCCTGTAACGTAAGGGTTCGACTCTGCTTCTTTCCAACCTCGTAGTGTCCTTCTTCTGTGTTTTTATATTCCTTTTGCAGTAAATTTAAAACACTCAGGGGCCATCAGTATTCCTACTGTTGCTTCTGGTTTTGTTTCCCCAACTCTAGCTTGTACAGAAGTATACCATTTGGTTTCTTTTCTGTATGTAGAATAAAGTTGTTTTTTAAGCAAAAAAAAAGCATTTACACCTTGATGAACTCACTGAATTTTAGTTTGCCAAATTACATCATGCAAGCTCTGTTATTAATTTCCAGAGGTGGTAAAAGGGTACATATTTCTGCCTCAAAGACTATCTTTCAGTAAATTACAAGAATTTATTTTCCTATAAAAAGTGTCCCACCAAAAAGAAGCAGTGATACCACTCTGTAACGTACCATATCCACCTGCATTCTTTAAAGGGTGTAAGTGGTGCAACTTGACTTATCCTGCTGAGCCTGCTCTATCTTCCAACTTGATTGTGTGGAATTTCTGTAGAAATTCTAGTAGGTTCTTCCCATTTCAACAAAAGCAGATCAGTAATGATTCTATTTACTTCCACATTTTCTTGTGTTTAGACTTTGTTGGTTTTTCTAATTTTGTTTGGTTGGTTTTGTTTTGTTTGGAGAAGGTGCTCAGTCTTACCGGACTGCACTGCAGTTTTACTTTTCAATATCTATGTTCTAGACATTAATTGTAGTGAATTAGTTGTGCTAGAAAAGTCTGGATAAAATTTTCTGTGCTAAATACGTACACCACCTGTAGCAGGTTTCATTCCTTATGAGTTTTAAAATATTGGACCTTTGGGAAGATTGGTACACTAATCACCTTCTCTTTTTCAATTTAAGATCAAAGTGTGGATTATATCAAAAGCATACGATCATTAGGACCTGTATGTGAATCTGTTAATGTGCACTTCAAATCTCTGACCAAGGAGCAATTCATAATTCAGTATGCGTCGTGGTTTCACTGGACAAACTGCACAGAGGTAGAGAAATTTCTGTTAACAATTCGTATTTTGGCACACGAACCCTTTGTGGAAGTTTAATGTAAGAACAAAGAAGAGATATCCACGAACCAAAATGTTTAGAATTTGTAACTAATTGTATGTCTCTGTTATGTGGTTGCTTATAGTTTCCCTGACTTTGTAATTATATTTTATATTAGAGAACATGAGTTGCTTTGGGCCTGTCCTAACGTAAGATCACAGGATTTTTATTTTCTAATAATCTGTGCCTAGTACCAAGCTTTACCTTATACAGTTATTGTGGATAATTTTTATATATGTAGGGCACTAGTTATCAAGTGGTGCTCTAGGGAAATTTCTCCCCAGGTGTCTATATTTTTATCTCCTTGGCACAGTTTTCTTTCTACATTTGTATAGCAACTATCACGAAGGAATATGTAGGTTTCTCTGTGCTTTTGAAAATTTGATTTTTCCTTCTGAATATTTAACACAACATTCTTCCTCTCTCCAATCATACAGGTATTTCTTGAAGTATTTGATGTTTTACAATATGCACAAACTACAGAAGTTGCTCTCAGCTTAATGAAACTAACATCATGCTTGGAACGAGCCTTGGGTGATGTAAGTGCCAAGCTGTGGAGTCTATTACAGATTTGGCTTTATAAGACTGGAATGAGCTCTTGGATTTAATTGCATATTGAAAAAGTGAGATTAGCCTGTACTGTAGTAGTACACTAATAGCCCAGGTGCATTTTGAGTCACACAGAGGTCCTGTTCTGGATCCAGTTTTGCTAGGAAAAGCATCAGCTCCTTCACCTGTGCTGGTACAGTTCCTTCCACAAAAGATCTGATGCTGTAGTAACTTCTCTGAGGAGTGGTATGCAGTTGGAAAAAATTGCCTTCTAAATAGCTTTTTTCCTAGGGAGAAGGGAGCAACGGGTATCCCAAGAGTGTTTGCTACTGGGCTTTATTAGGCCCAGATATGTTAAAATAGCTGGGTGTTAAATATCTGTGAGGAGCTCTGGAGAAGGAAATAACAGAGAAAGAGCAAGCGGCTAACTCACAAATAAATCTGCCCAAGAAGGGGGCTTGGTAAATTTGAAGTAACAAAAGATTACCAAAAATTGGAAAAAACTGTCAGGGAGAATACAAAGAACTGAAGGCGTGATAGCAATTGAAAACAGAGATGCTGAGATGGCCCAACAAGGGCAGACCTAGTTTCAGGAACGGCCTGAATCAGAAGACAAACCACAAGTCTCCTCCCTTTAACACTGACAGACCCTGTAGATTTCTAGGGTAATAATGAAATATCGTGTCCATGGTAGAGTTTATTCCCATAATTACATGTAGAGTGTCCCTGGTGGTGCAGTGGCTAAACCACAGCATTGTCAACGCTGAGATCTGGGTTCGATTCCCGGTTAGGACACTCCCCGGGCAGATGGAGCTCGTTAGCCCTGTAAGGCAATCCATCTACATCCTGAGGACCTCGCTGCCACCGTCCAAGCGTGCTTGGCCCCGGGAGATGAACCTCTGGATTAAAGGGTGGGCTCAGTTCCGCGCACACTGTGTCTCACCTAAAAAATCCAATGCGCAGGCTGGAAGGTGGAAAGACCTTCCCCGGTTCTTCGTTCGCGAAGAGACTGGCCATTATATTAATTACATGTTCTTGTTGTGCTTAATGTTTTTTGTGGTTTGGGTTTTTTTTTTTTTGGAAGAGAAGAGCAGTACATGTACAGACACTGTGAAAAGCTTAACTATGGAAGCATTAAGTAGGATATTCATTCCTTTCTGATATGTTGCCTAAATTTTAATTTGTCATGAAATTACAGAACTTAAAGCTTTTTAAAGGACTTGGTGTGTTTTGTTTGATTAGTGTTTTTACAATAATGAAAATGGTTACTGGGTGAAATAGTCAAGTTATGTTTGAAATACAAAGAAGTATACTAAATTGTTTATGTTATCTGTTTTGCTTTTTTTTTTTTTTTTTTAAATAGGTATATTTACTTAAGGGTAACGATTGCCCTTTCCTTCTAAGAGACTTGGTTGCATCTGAGCATCTAGCAGTCATCTTTGGACAAGCTGTAGTAAGTGCCTACTTCTGAAATAAGTAATAAATACTGATCTGGTTCTCTTCCTGCCAAATGTCAGTTTTCCAAGTGTAGCCTTTGCTTGTACTGAAGAAGAGTTTGCAAATTTTATATATTGTAGATTTATTTTCGTTTTATACATGTTACACTCTGGGGGTATATGATTTTAAAAAAAAAGTTAATATTGTAAAAGAAATAGTTTTAAAAACAAGGTCGTAAGTTTTTATTTCCCTTCCTGTATGAAAAACCAACATAAGTAAAATTTCACTATCTGGCAGGCCATGAGCAGAGTTCATCTGCCTCATTCAGAGTTGCACTACTTGAAAATACACATCCTGCATTGGCTGTTTCTAATAAGCTGTGTTCCTCTTACCACCAGTATAGTCAGATGCTTTATAACATTTAGCATATAAAAATTTTTCAGAATAGAGAAAACTAATTTGAAAACAAACAAACAAACAACAACAAAAAAACCCCACCCAAACAAACAAAAACCCCCACAAAATTCTGATGACATACACTCTAGTCTAAACAGAGTAGGTGGATCTTCCACATACAGTCTTACAAGAGCATGTTCTTTGTTAGAACAAAACATTAGGTGTGAACTGCGTAAGCCTGTGTTGTTAGCCAGTCTAGTAGTGTTACAAAGATTATTTGAATTTTGATGGCATATGGAATATTTAAATTCTTACAACTAAAAAATAAACCAAAGTTTCCCATTTTGTTTGATAGTGATCTGGAAATACAGCTTTGAATGCAAATTCTATCTTTTTATGTT